GCAACACTAGAGGGATAATCTGCAGCATTGCTAGACTGACTAACGCCAGCGCCAACCCCTTGGTGACTAACGCCACCTCCGTAGGCAGGACCATAGAAGCTGGAACCACATTGATTGATCCCAGCTCCATGAGTATCAGCAGCACTGCCATGGAACCCGGGTGCTCCACCAGGGTAACCCCCGGTAGGTGCCCCTCCACTCGGGCCGCCAGGGGGCCCAGCGAAACCTTGGCCTCCGCCAGGATGTCCAGGACCTGGTGGTGGAAGTGGAGCATGACCACCGCTTCCGCTCCCGCCTTGACCAGGTGGTCCGCCTTGCCCACCACCTCCCCCAGGAGGAGGAGGAGGGGGCGGTCCAGCTTGAGCGCGTTCATGCCGAATATTGCAGCGCGCGCACCGCTCAAGGCCGTCATCTCCAAAGTAACTGTGATTCTCACAGACGTGGGTCCCACAATCCGTGCAGAAATACATGGAGACCTCCTGAGCATTCTTGCGACATGCCCAGCACTTCATTTTCAAAAACTGACAATTGCAACAATCACCATCATCACCCCGGCAAAGACTGCAAAACTCACGATTGCATGTAACGCATGAAAATTCAGCGTCCGGGTGCCTACGGTCGTTGGGGTCATCAAGGGCGCAAATCTTTGGCACACCTGGGCCACCGGCACCGGGAGCGCCTCTTGTGGCCGGTGCCGAGGCCTGTCCACGATCAGATGGAGCTCCAGGGGCCCTCCACCTCTCGCCGGGACTTGGGACGTCTGCACTAGCTCTGCTCCCAGGAGTCCTCCAGTCATCGCCGGGACTCTGGGGATCGATATGGGCCCTAATACCCCTACCACCTCCTGGATGACGGTCTGGGTTCGGAGAGACGTCCCCGCTATCGCGGATCGGTCTATCCAGGTTCGGAGAGATGCTCCCGCTATCGCGGATTGGCCTCTCCTCCCTTGATTGCCGACTTCGGACCTCAGATCCCCTATCGGGGACGGCGGCAGGCCTCGGGCTCCTATTCCTACCCACATCCCTATTTGGAGAAACAGAAATGTCCCCCCTTGCGCGCGCGCGGGGGCCATCCCTCGCACGCCCTGGCGGTGAATGCGACCTGTCAGGTAAGGGGCCAGCCTGCACGGACCCCTCGCTAACGGGATATATTGGATGCCTGCCTGCACGAGGAGGATCGACCCTATCGGGCACATTCGGCAAAGCCTGGTCAGGCAAACCAACACCTCCGCCTGGTCTCACCGGACGGCCAGTACCCCGGCCGTCACCTTCCCCGGGTGTGGGCGTCGGAGACCTGATCCTATGTCCCTGCCCCGCAAATGCATCGTAACCAACATTCCGTCTCTCTCTGGGTTGTTGAGGAGCCTCATTAATCTGCTGGACACCCTGAATGATGCCAGCGGCCTCGTCAAATTGACCCTCCATTTCAAAGAGCTGAGACATGATTCTGTTGTTCGCTGCGCTAAGATTACGCACGTTACCATCGATAGCGCTGACTCTCCGCATAACGCCTTCAAGCGTACTCCGGAACGAGCCGAGTTCTCGCCTAACGGCAGGCTGCACTTGGTCACTGCTTGCAGGAAGATTACGGATCTGTCCTTGGATACCATCAACGACCCGATTCACAATTGCCGATCTCGCTTCATACTGTTCAACATGTGATTTCACGGTCTCAAACCTTGAAATGATGTCGTCATGATCCCGACGTTGACGTTGAATTCCTCGAGCCAGATCCTGCATCTTCCGATTGATCTCGTCAATAGCCTCATGCCAGTCCTGCGGGGAATCATGTTCTGATGGTCTATCGACCTCCTGAGAACCCCTTCCACTCTGCAGTCTCGACACTCGATTAACAAGACGAGTGTGCTCTTCTTTGATCCCTTCAATAGATTCAGAGGCCCACTTGGCAAATGTCTCGTGTTCAAGGAGAGCTTTCTCGATCTTCAGGTTTAACTCCCTGAAATTTGCATCCACTACACTGCCGCTGGCCCTATCGGACGGATGCGCGACAGGATTCGGGTTCCATACACCTGCTGGTGTCCGCATCCCAACGGTTTTCTCTACCGAGAACATCCGTTTCTCAAGCTTGTCCAAATCCTTAAGGATCTCGTCCTCAGAAGCAGCATGGCTTCTGCGGGCAGCCTCACTATTCTCCTGAATCATCAGGCGAAGCCGATCAGTCGATGCCTCATTGTCCTTGACAGATTCATGGACCTCGTGGGACAGTAGGTTAACCCTCTGCTCCACGACCTCGGCTTGCTCATCGATGGCTTGCCTCACAATGGCCCTGCTATCGGGAATAACTTCCCTTGCGAACCGTTGAACTATCATTCGCATCCTCCCGGCATCAGATTGAGTCGCAACCTCAGCTGCCAGTCGATCGACCTTGTACTTCGTCTGTTGATTTTCGTCGCTCCATTCCCTTCTCATGGAACTCACTTGACCGTTCAGTAACCTGATCTGGTCAGCAAAAATATGGAACGCTTTCGCGACTGAGCCAGAAACCTCACCTCTCTCGAGCATCTCCTGGATGTGCAAATCGAACACCTCCTTTGCCCTAGCGTCACCTGATTCACCGGAAGAATGAGACCTGAGTGCTGGAGGAGTCGATATCTCGATCCTCTCAGGAGCCCCACTAGCTCTAGCATATCTTCTGGTGTCATCCACAGGACTATCACCAACCCCAGATGGCCTGCTAGGGGTAGACCCCCTTCTACGGCTATCGCCGGAACGGGGATCAACATGGGACGCACGAGACTCGGGAGTAGAGTGGATGTGAACATCAGCAGGATCAGGCATCTCCTCATCCTGCGGAGTTGAGTCCATTGGTGAGGGGCTAGCCCTCCTCGCCTTTGACCTATCGGTCTCAATAGCCAGGGGTGACGGTCTCTTCGCAGAAGCACTACGTTCCCTGGCGGTCGAGCCCCATTGAGGTGTGAACTCGTTGCTAGACCTTAGCGTTTCAAGGTCACTGGTATCTCGCCCTAACGGGCTAGCGATCGACGGACGATCCTCGATTCCGAGTGCATCGGCAAGCCGGCCATCTCTTGCACCTCTCCCAACGACATCGGCAACCCGCTCAGTGACTCTCGGCGAACCAGTAACCCGGTTCGAGTTCACGTCTCTCTGATTTAACGGACCTCCAAACGTAATGTTGGGAAAAGGGGGAACATTCGGGGTATCACCAATCGCCGGGGGACCTACCGGTCCCTCACGGTCATGGATGGCCTCCAATCCCCGAAGAACTTCCCGACTGTCCCTGGCTCTCTCTCTCTCGCTTCGGGCATCCCTGTCAACGCGAAGGTCCCTGGCGGCTCCACGAGAGAGGCTCCTGGGCCTCGCAGCATCACGGATCCTAGCATTTCGTCGTGGTTGGTCCTCCTCCTCATCACGGCGATCCGCAAATGCGGCATACTCGTCATCATCATCGACCTCAAACTTGGCAGCGGCGGGACTAGTCCTTGCAGTCGCACGGCTGCCTGCATTTCGGCGCGAATGGCTCTCCTCCTCATCCGCAAAATTGTAACCCTCGCCATCATAAGACTCAGATTTGGCAGTATTAGGGTTGGGCCTACCGGCATCAGATCCCTGCTTTGAGCTACTGCCCCAACCTGCGGTTGATTTCAACAGATCATCGTATCCGAAGTCCGTGAATTTCCGCTCCTCGTGCTCATCAAACTGACCTGGATTTTGAGAACCAATGGATCGGCCGGGATACCTCCCGGAGCCAGAACCACTGGTCCCTGCGGCCTATTCTCAAACTCATCCGAGACCTGCGACTCACCTGGAACAAGAGATCTCGGAGGTCGAGTCGGCATGGCCTCCGGGTCATCCGAATGAGGGCGGGCCATGTCCATCGCCATGCTGATGAAGTCAAAACGTCCATGCCTGTGACCTGATTCAGAGCCACTCCTACCGGAGTAAACCCTTCGTGTCTGCTCGTCATCAGTGGCCTGGCGGAAAATACGATCGTCTCCATCGTCGGCGTACCTGCCACGGCTCCTGGGTGTATCCCTACCGGGATCTTCACCCCTGCGGTCCTGACCTGTTGAACCTGCTTCGAAATCCTCGTAGTCATAGTCCGGTAGGTCCTCACCTGAGCGGAGGCCACCTAGGATGGCCTCCTCATCCACGACGCTCCTTCGAGATCGTGGGGTCGACATAGAGCTTGTAGTTGATGGTCTCAAGCGCGTAGGAAAGTCCTACGGCTGATAACCTGTGATTCGGGCACGAGCCTGTGCCCAGGCAATGGGTAAGTTGGGGTAAACAAGCCACAAAAGAAAGGTTCCCCAAAAGCAAACCAATCCCCGGTCCCAAAGATCAGGGTTTCCCACACACCAGAGAACAACAACCAAAGGAAAACAAACCAAACAAGAAAAGGGTTAACCCGCAACCTTGGTCGACAACAGGCCGCACGACTGGTCCCTACCAACCTGGCGGCGGCCCGAGGTCTCTTTCTCCCCCGAGATGCCGTCGGTCGACGCAGGGGTTCGGCGACGCCCATTCGAGGCGCGACGGAACCCAAAACTTGAGCCAAAACACCACAGGTCGGTCACTAACGCGACGTCCCTGATGATGATATGAACCATGGCTAATCACACAATCATATTATTCAGGGTTTTGCCAAACCTGAAGCATCAAGGGAAACCGGATGCTTCAATGAGCAAAACTCTCCACTCCACTCGTGGGCGAACTTTTGCCACCAAGAAGGGATCTGGAGTGTGGTTCGAGGTCCTCGCCACATGAAGGTGCTTGCAGCCAACAACATAATGCAACCATGGGACCAACATAAGCGTTCTAGTTCTTCTCTTGTGTTACAGTATCCAAGGAGCAGTCAAACGGTCAACATCATGCGAATGCTGGCACAAAAGCGATGGTGAGAAAGGAATGGAAAGGATTGACACATGGGTTCGACCTTTGGTTGCACAGAGGTTTTCATGGCTCATGAAGGAGCCACCAGTGCTTCACACCCGAAGCTGCGAGCCATCGAAATGCAGGCGCCTCCTCGGAAAGGATCTCATCATCGCTGCCTTAGCACACAGCACTTAAACATATAAACATGGTCTATGATAGATACGCACTTACACACACACACATACATGTATAATTAATGTATACATGTAAACACTATGTATATACACATATACATATCATATACTGCATACACGCGCGTGTTTGTGCACACAGGACAAGTAACAAACATGTCTCCGGTAAGTCCAAATACAAATGGCATTGGCAACATCCAGAAACGAGTACAGGACACATACGCTTGCAGCACGTTGTGGAGTGGTGTATGTCATGCCATACGTATTGAACAAAGGTGAGCAAATGACTCCAACCCACCTCGAAACTCTTAACACGTGCAGTTTCCAGGTCACAAGTACAACTTCAGGATTGACTCCGTGCTTCCCAAAGGTGGCGATGCTCGGCTTCGCGAAAGCTCAGTAGGAAACGGTGCCTTTTCGATGAAACTCATGAAACAATGGGCGAGGGAGCTGCTCAGGCAACAACCTTCCTCCTCCTCCGACATCTCGTCGTCGTCGTCGTCGTCGTCGTCGTCCTCACAGCCTCCGCCAAAGAAGTCCTGCAGATAGGTTCAACAACGGTCAAAGGCTGTTGAGGCTGTTGATCATTTCCCATTTCCACTGTCAAATCCGTGCTTGGCTACCACCAACTGAGTTTCAATGGGTTTGTGCCGATGGCTAATTTATGCCTAATTTTGTACAGGTGTGGATCACTTGTTTCAAAGGTTCAACTTCGGAGCGACCGGAAAAGGAGCAGGCTAGCCACCGACAAACTTCGATCCCCGAGTCTTTCCGGCGAACTGCCCGAAACCTTCCATCTGCTACACCCAAGGGAAGTTGATTTCCGCACAAGAGGGCCCCTGGGTTTAAGCCTTCCCCGGGATAAGCTCCATTCAGCCAAGCCTCCACCCCTGATCCAACCCACGAATGTTTTTCCATACCTGCATACGCAGCTCTGTCCGAGATGAGCTGAAAATTCGGAATTTGGATCGGATTCCAGTTGCCTTTGTCAAAGGAAACTTTGTTGAAGTTCGCTCTACGCAAAGATAAGATGAAGACATATTTAACGAACGAATCGCGAAAAACAGCAACCCTCCCAAGCTTACCCGGTCGCGTCGCCCGGTCGCGGAACGGGTGCGGAACGGTCTGAGACCCGGGCCTATTGGCATGGACGCACACACTTTTTGCGACAGCCGTTCGAGTGACATGCGCAGCACTTCGGCGACCTGAGGAAAGAATTGCGTGGCAGGCAGTAACAGGCGCAGCACTTTGGCAATGCTTGAACGCCCCCTTTGGAATCCTATTGGCACCGCGAGCAGTGCCACATGCGGATTTCATTGTGGCGTGACAGGCGCAGCACTTTCGCATGCAGGTGCAGATTGTTGGGAGACAGAGAGAAAGAGAACGAGGAAAGAAAGACGAGAGAAACCGAAGAAGAGAAAGACAAAGAAAGAGATGGAGAAAAAGACAGAGCAAGAGAAAGAGGAATAGAAAGAGAACGAAAAATGAAAGAAATAAATAAGATAACGCAAACGAGACAAATTGTAGGAACATAAGAAAGCCAGAAAGATAAAAGAAGCAGAGAAGGAGAAAGATGAAGACAAAGAAGATAAACATGAAGAGGAAGAAGAAGAGAAAGAGAACGAGAGCTAGAAAGAGAGAAGGAGAACGATGAAGCGAAAAAGAAAGAAACAGAAAGAGAGAAAGAAGAAGATAAAGAAAAGACAGATAAAGATAAAGATAAACAGAAAGAAGACAAAGACAAATAAGAGAAAGATAAATAATATAAATATAAATCATAGAACATTAAATAAGATATAGATAAATAATAGAACAACAAAGAGCAGAAAGAGGAAACAAACCAGACAAATAAATAGAACAGGGAATATAAATATAGTTCTTATATCTTTGAAACTTCCGCCCCACTCTACCAGCCTCACTGGTAGCAGGTTGACAGGGCTTTTAACCTCTAGTTTGACATGATGCCGTCCTCTTTGCTCTGGCAATAAGTGGAAGCGCTGGGAGGGACACCCGGCCCTACATTCCTTACTTGGCTTGTCCACTCTTCCCTTGGCTCCTCTCCATCGCTGAGAGCCTCCTGCCTCAGCCCATTCTCTGCGAGAGCCTCTCCCAAACGAAATTAACCTCTTCGTGGCACCGCAATTCGACGCAGCAATTCGAACAGGCCTGACACTTGCAATCCAGCATGCCAAGACCACGCGCAAAGGTGACAACTGCACGTCTCCATTGCACACATGCTGCTTTGGCGGATCTGCTGGATAGTTTGTGTTGACGCAGGTCGGAAGGAGCTTGACAAACACACTCTCTCGAGTGAAGGATCGGGCCAAGATAAGCATCTGAAACAGGTTCTTCAGCAGGCACGTGCATACATGTTCCTTCCTGAAGAGACTTGGTAACAAAACAAAACGATGACAACAAGGTCAGAGATCAGCTTTCACATCACAAGTCACCAGGGCTTGCTGTACTTTCCACTGCTGGCCAAGGGAATAAACACAGCTTTTTGAAGCGAGACCAAAGCTGCTACACAACAGATCAAGCCAAGCGCCTGATGAATTTCATTGAATTTCACCAGACCCCTCAGTTTCTGAATGTTGTGTCAATGAGGATCAAATAATCGTGAGGGAAATGTGTGTTCCTCTTCGTCACTTGCGAGGTTTGGCGTGCTTGGGATTTCCCCGACGCTTCCACCAATCCACCAAAACCTGATACCTCGGCCTTCCCCAACGAAACATGACATGTCTTGGTTTGGCCAAACTGATGACAAACCATCAGCTGCCAACTGATTGGGAGTACTGATTGGGAGCCACCAGTCAACTCATGGCTTTGGGAACACGAATTCTGCAAACTGATTCGGCAAAGCCCGTGCTTCCCACCTTCGCCAGTGGCAACTGAGGCGCAGGCTTGGCATCCACGTGGCCATTTGGCCTGGCCACGCGGACACGGAGAACCACCACTTCCGGACAGAAACAGCTGCCCCTGAAATTTTGCATGGGGTCTACGAACGACTCTTGCCTCTTTTTTTTTCCGGTGGGACCCAGAGTTCAAACATCGGCCGAGATCTCCCCTTTGATTGTGGAAAGGGTGGAGAGCCAAAGCAAGGAAGGTCTAGTCCGAGGCCATACCATCAACTGGATGGGATGCACTTTCAAAGTCGACCAACATGTCATGGTTAAGGGACCTGTGTTTGAAGATTCAAGTTTTCACTCTCCTTGCCATCTGATCCATCCGGCAAGCCCCCCTCCTGTTGAGGCCATCAGCCAAATATCTTGACAGCTCGAGAATATGTGAATGGCTCGGAGATTCAAGGTGCTTACTACTTCTCAAAACAAGGACCCAAACATGGTTGGCCTCTTTTTGCCGCCCTTTCGACCAACCAAATGGGGCTCCTTCCAACGAAACACATAGATGCCAACCACCGGCACAATACCAGTCGGAAGCTACATGTCCCCAGCGGTGACATCTCCCGCTGGGGATCGGGCGCTGCAGGTTCCTGGCAACGGGGGACACCGCTTTCAAAGGCTACATGCATCAGCCTATCTATGAATCAACCGTTAATTATGGATTATGATAAACCAGCCCCCAAAGACCCAACGTGGTCTGATCATGTATGGAATCAGCCTAGCATTTCGAGGTCAAATATGGTCAAATATCAAAGTCGCGGTGTCCTTTGCGGGACCTTTCAATATGTGGCAGAACAGGCAACCCTGGGCAAGAAAGCGCACCCCACACACTTTGAAAACGGCCCCAAGAAAAACAATCATACGGTGGCAATGACAACAATATGAGAATAGTAAATAATTAGAACAATAACAACTGCAATGACATAATCAGGGATACATAATGAGAAGTACACACACGCCTACAGGACAAGGTCAGCCCGGTGTGACATGTGGAGGAGGATCTCTTGCTTTTGACACGCATGGAAAAAGCCCAAACAATCCGACTCAGGGCACACGTGGGGCTGCTAGATCCTAGCATCGTTGGCGATGCGTATCAATTGAGAGCCACTTGCCCAACGGCTGGTCTCGGTTTGCTTGCCAAGGCAGTGGTTGTCTCTCTTTTTGTTTGGCAAACAACAACAAACAAGGGGCGACTTCTTTGGCTGGACAAGGAGGGCAAGCACGGTGTTTTTCCGAGCCCAAGGACACTGCCAGCCCCACCACTGGCTCCGCTAGCTTCATCTTCTTGCCGTTTTCCTGCGTCCAAGCAACCACGCAACTCCGCCGACAGCTGGGGATCAAACAAAAGCCAAAGGGGCTTCTTATGCACAAGCTATTTGCTCAAGCAACCAGAACCAACCAATTCAGTGGATGTCCTCCCGGGTTTGTTTAACCACGAAACCACTTTCGTTGAAACCTCCTTTTGGTTCCTTGGACGAGGGGCTCGTTGCGTAAAACTTGCTTCACCCAGGCCTTGACGGCTTCTTCCTTGGCCTCCAGTTTTGCCTCCAGCTTCTCCTCTTTCGCTTCGAGCTTGGCCTGCCAGCGACACTAGGGACATGGAAGAAAAAACAATGTAAAGTCATTCCGTGAGTGCCAAATTCTTTTTAGGTGCACCTCTTGCTTTTGCCTTCCAACTGCAAAATACCTTTGGGAAGAGATCCGTGGAAATGATCCTGCACCGAACCCAAAAGCTACGTTTTGCAAGACGTGAGTAGGTGCCAGCTTCCAGGCTATTCCTACTAGTAGCAACCTATTTGCCACCCTCTGGCGGCCGATTTTGGCAGAGCTCCCCACTTCAGTTCTGGCATGTTCAGGGCCCTGCATTTTCCCAGCTCCCAGCTCGCTTTCGCCTCAAGCTTTGCCTCGTGCTTGGCTGCTCTCCTTTGCTTCTCCTCCAGGTATGCATCGACATCAGGCTTGTGCCTCGAAGCGGACTGCATCCAGTTGGCACTGGGCACTGGAGTCTGCCCTTGAGGGCTTCGTAAGGCTGTGTCGCCCCTTTTCAGGGATCTCCAAACTCCGTCTCCCTTTTGGTTCTCTTACAGACCGGCCCCAAAAGGGGCATCCTCGAACAAAAACACATGGGATCCATGCGTACTTGGCGCTTGGGGCATGCGTTTGGAAGCAAAACTGCATGGTGAAAAACCGAAAAGGACGACTTTACACACGAAAGGACGACTTAACACGAGCACTCAGTGTGGCCAAAAGGAAGGACAGGCAAGCCTTTGCCACGCTTTCTCCTGCAAACAAGCCCCCTCCCAAAAACAAACAAACACCTTCGTCGAGTCAACATTTTGCGCCAAGACCGAAATGGCAGGCCCACGTCGGATAAGGCGTCGGCTTCTCAATCAGCGCAAACGCCTGGCCAAAGGCAAACTGTTGCTGCGCCTGGCTGAAATGACTACAGCGCTTGCTGCACAAGCAAGCAACATTTGGAACCTGTTGTCACAATTTTGCATGACACCCATCTCCAGTGGGCCCTTGCAGTCTTCAAATCAAGATTTTGCCTTTTGTAGGGTAGAACAACTTGTTTCCTGTTCAACACCTGCTGAATCCCTGCGTGTGCACTGGGCTCGCCCTGCCTGCGTCAGCTTGGATATTGTACTTGACAACGTGAACGCGTCATCTGTGAAACACTGGCCTCCAGCTGGCAAATTGCAAATGATCAAGAGAGGATCACCGTTCAGTTCTTGAATATAACTTAAGTGTAATCGGGGGCACTCCTAGTTCAATCCTCTTCAGTGCCGATTGCAGTAGGTTGAACACCCCCCAATGCAATCCCATGCAACTCTCTCTTCAACATAGAAGCGACTACCAGATGAAAAACATGAGCCATTGCAGTGGTGCACTTGCAGGCGGGTTTGATTCCACAAAGGTTCAAGCGGGGGTCGGCCAAACATATTCTTGAAGAAGGAATAAGGTGGTCAGCAGCGCTTTGGGACGATGTTTCGTAGTACAAACTCGGCACATCACAAAAATAATCCTACACCCTCGCCGCAAAACAAAACAACAGCTCGATGGATTCAACATCACCAGCCCGCTAGAGGAAACTTGTATGGACCCGCGTGTGCGATGTGAGTTCCATGTGGGCTGCTTCCCGAGCTTCCGTCCCTCGCACTTGGATGAATCAGGCAGTCACTAATGGCGGCATATGATCTTTACCTTGTATATAATGCTGATGTAAACACACGCTCCAGCACTCCAACTCGAATCTGACTGCTCCAGCAGACAACGGAGAAGCAGTTTGTGGTTTCTATGCAAACCGCCTGCGTCAGTTGTTCCTTCAGAAACTTCAGCAGTGCCCAAGGCCCAATACCGTACTGAAGCACTCAACCTTGAATTGGCTGTACACTTCGAGTACTGAAGCATGGCGTGCTTCGCTGACAAATATATCACGCAGGCCATGGCTAAATTTGTTCAGTCGGCAAGCAAGCAAACAAACAAACAAAGAAGCAAGCAATCAAACAAACAACCAAACAACAAAACAACCAAACAACCAAAACAAGCAAACAAACGTCAATAGCAAAGGGTCGTCAACCGCCCTTCATGACCTGGACCTATCTGTGACCTGGGATGTGTGAAAAACAGTTGGGGTTGTGAGGACACCAACATCGAAAGCCGTCTTCAACGCAACACTCCAGGGCTCCCCATATATTATATATCCCCTCAAACATCACCCCGCTTTCAAGCAACTCACTTTAGACGAGCCCAAAAGGTGTGACATCCCCTTGGCCAAGTCAGGTGTATTGATTCGTGAAAACAGCAGACAACTATCGTACACGACACAGCAAAGCAGCGTGCAGCGAAGCATTGCCCAACACTCCATCTTGCGAAATCTGCTAATGATCCCCCCCTCAGCTCCTCGGAATGGGTGATAGAACCTTCGTAGGAGCGGTAGGGGGATCTGATTTTGTCTCTGAGATCTCCAGACTCGGCGCCCCACACCAAAGCACCGTCGCCATCTGCCAGGCGCGGCCCAGCCTCGGCTACTGGTGGCAACAACCCTTCTGTCAGTTTCAAAAAGGAAGCCAACCTAAGACATTGATGGGAGCTCCCAGTGGCACATTCTCCTTGGCTGGATTTCTCCCCTGTTGGCCGCCCCAGAAAGTGATGTCGCAAACTTTCCCGCTCGAAGGCAGCACCGCTTCTGGTCTTCCAACGACTGGCTGTTAGAGCCAACCCAGTGGACTGTCTCGGGAGAGCGCTTGGACACCTACACATACTCAAAATCCCTTATCAACGGATTCAAACACCCTCGCAACTGGAAAGAGAGTGGTGGTGCCCTTATGTGCAGGAATCAACCCTGCCTGAGGCATCCCTGAGTAAGTTTTGACAAACATTGGTGCGCTGGTCGACAAGCATCACACGCGTTGCGCTCTTGACAAATGACATTGATGTGTGACATGTTGCATTAGCCGCTGTGAATGCAATCACAGAACAATTCAACAACCGTCTATGCTCCCTCAAAACTGTCCTCCATCAGTCACGCTGCTCAACAGGAACACCATACATGCACAACAAAGGGACTTCCATAACAATAAACACATTCCCCTATCAGTGAGGGCAAGACGGATGTGGCCGGTAGGTAGATGGTAAGTACCCATCATGCGCCCTACACATGCTGATGCTGTGCCGCTCTTGTACAAAATATGGTTGCCACAAGCCAACAAACGTGAACGTGGACCTGAAGTCTCTCAATGGCTTTTCTAGGCAACCATGCATTCAATCATCTGAGCAAAACCCTGCGCAGGAACGAACAGAAGCAGACTGCCCCTACAATGAACCACACAAAATAAGGCCCAACAACAGGATACCATTGCACAGCATGTCATGAATCAAACGGGTCAAGCCGAGCGCAACTCATTCAAAGTCATTGACTCCAGCGAGTCGCATGCAGGCTAAGGATGGGGCATGCGATGCTTGTCGTCCTGAATGTCCGACAGGAAAAGGCAAATCGACACCAAGCCACCATTTGAAGTGGTGGCAGCATTACCTACAGAAAGGGGCCCATATGGCTGTGGGTCAGAAATAGGTACCCAAAATGGAGCCCTGGTGAATGGAACCAAGTACTAAACCTGTGGTCCCCTGGATTTGTACGTACAATACTATATAGGCACTTTGCAAGGCAAGATCGATGGTCGTGCGACTGAACACAGCTTGTCAAGCAACAACATGTGTCCGGGAAAGCTGCGCCTCTCGACACGCCCAAATGGGGTTCAGGGGGCGCCATGGAATAGGAGCTTTGCGCCAATGCTTGCACAAAACTGGCCTGTTCTCAGATCCCCTGCAAAAAGTTCAACTCTTTGTGGGTAAATGGAAACGCCCACCAAACGCTAAAGAGCTAAAAAGCTAAGGGGATGGCTGGGAGCCACCAAGAAAAGCATGTGCAAACCGAGCTAACGATTGATTCCAGCTCAGACTGAGACTGCTAAACCCAAGAAGGGTCTGGGCGCACCAAATGGCTATGTCTCGGACTTAGTGATTGGTTCGCTCGCGGGGTGTTTAAAGCCGGGTACATGCTGTAGCAGTCAGACTGCTTTACAAAATGAACTCCAGACACCAGCAGTACATTGATCCTTGGCGCTCCTGATCGAACCACTGAGTGTTGTACGACAGAACGTACTCAAAAACCTCGGTGAGTGCTTTCGTTTTGGCATGCGAGTCGGGCACACATGCTGCACTCTCAACATGCATATCGACTCGCCACCAACTCGCACGGACCCCACCGTCATCAGCTTGACATCGGGGTCAAATGGGTGTGGGTCAATATTCTGGTGTGGAACGTTCCGCGGTGACGCGGACGTCTGGAACGAGTCAGTTACGCAAGGTCGGTTGTTCCGGACCTCTGGGAAGACATGCGTGGAGTCCTCAAGCACACGTTCATTTAGTGTAAGATGGATAGATGGATGGATGAATGGATGGATGGGTAGATGGATGGATGAAGACGGCCTCACCTCCCACCCTCGCGTCATTGGGACACCGATTCGCTGTTGTCAGGCCCGCCACCCGCGCCAGCCGATGCGCAAGGCTGGGAGGCGTAAGCCGATGTCCACCGATGCGCACGCCGATGCAGGGCATCCTTCAAAGACTTCTTTGTGTCCAAAGCCCTGGCACATGCCGTCCTTGAAGGCTTCTTGGGCGGCGGGCCACGTAAGAAGCGCAGCCACGTAAATGTGTGCATGTGGACTTGGTGGCAAATTGCTCCACTGCGTCTGGAACACGTCTGGAACGGGTCTGGAACGGGGTCTGGAACGGTTACGCGAGCGGCTTGCACTTTGGAATGCTAGCATGCAGCATGTAAACATGGTCGTTTCAACAGTGTGACGACCGAGAACGGTATCAAACCGCTACAGTATCGCATCGAACCGATAGCTGCGGAATCGTATCGCACCGAACCGAACCAAGGTTCCGGAACACCATGCCGATATATTTTTATTCTTTTCTTTCTCCTTCTTTCTTGCTCCACGCCATTTCAGTCTTTGCCATTGCACTTGCACACCCAACAAAGAACGACCATCTGAATCAATACTCTATACAAATATACAAAATCTGGAACGGAAGGTGTGGAACATGTTTCTAGGCAAGGTCTGGAACGGAGGTCTGGATCGCATGTGGGTTCCGGACCCTGTTCCGGACCTTATAAATTGACTCGCAGCCAAATGTTGTACTGGCAAAATGCTGCCTCGGGTATCCGCCGACCGGAGGCGCCTGGGAAGGGTGGAACATGTAGAACACGCAGCTCCCCCACATTTATAGTTTAGGTTCCGGGGGGCCAAACTCCTCATGGCTGCGCGCTATATATATATATATACACACATTTTGTGCAGCCGTAGGGGATGCCGCGGACGTTGCCTGTTTAGCTTTATCTAGCTTTGTTTAGCTTTGTAGTATAGCTTTATTCTGAATAATTCTAGCTTTAAATTACTTGTTACTCTACTACCTACACTGCTTCACACTTCTGGGAGCATATACAAATGGTGTTTGGCATGCTATGTTCGTGGTTGTTGGCACCGCTTTTGGGACTCGATTCCACCCTGGGACAGGCTTAACTGGTCAACACTAACACAGTCCTTCTAGTCAAGGCAATAACTTGTCGTGGGGTAAATGCTGGAATTTGGAGCTAGCTAGAGCCAGAATGTGGGTTTGTTGTCTTAAATTATCTATTCGGGAATCCAACCGTGGCATCGAGGCTTGCTTGAGACAGCGTGATGCTTTAGCACTAAGGGGAGGCGGCGCTGGGCGGCAGCCCTTAAAACTTCTTGTCCCCCTGGCATGGCAGTGGACGGGGGTTCCTACTGATGCCATTTGCAAATGGCGAGCGGAAGCCGGCGCATCTTGCAGCTCTGAGGTCTGAGCGCAAATCACATCTTGCCGGCCTTCTTTGTCCTGCGAGTCGTATCCGGGACATGCTGTCGCCCAAGTGACTGATGCTGATCGGTTGTGACACTTAGGAAACTTCTCAACCTGTCATATGGGTTTCATGTTGAAGTGGATAGCAACTTAAGGTGGTCGCACACAACACAAAGTTCGAATGTACAGAATTGCGCGTGTGCTTGAATCACTATAAATATCAACTGCAGCTCCTTTCTCAGCATCTGATGCAAACTGTTGTTGGCACTCGTCAGAAAGTCCAAGGGCTCATGCGACACTGACCTGGTTGGCTTGTGAGCAGTCCTTGAACACCTTGCAATCAGCACGTGAAGGCTGCGTTTAGAAGCGATTGGTCAACCATATCAGGCCAATGCACACGGAGACGGGTTTGTAACTTTGAATCTCAAAGCATGGAACGACAACTGCCCCAATGGAACAACCCCACCCAATGGAACAGCCCCAACCGCCCAGTGCCCATCTGCCTCGGCCAAAAATGGGAGTCTCGTGAGGTCGTTCAGTGTTCTAAAGATGTACTCGCGGTTGTCGATGTTCATGTACTCCTCACAGGCGTAGGTCCACAGGGATTATAGCTGTCCACGTTAAGCATGACACAAACACGCGGACACACACACACACACACACACGAAGGCACACATACCCACACACACACACACACACGACCTCTAATCTAGTCGGGATGTCGAGGCAAAAGGACGCTGTCCAAGAGAGTCCTCCTTGCCAGTAACCCGATATAACCGAGCAAAGCAAGCATGTAACGTGTGGGCACATTTGCCAAGGAAATCCATGCAGGGCTTAGGATGTCAGTTGAAGTGACCAGACTGGTCATCAGAAGCGCAATGACAGACTTTAGTCGTGAGTGAGATGAGCCATAAATAGGTACAATTGCGTGCAATGAAGTGCTGTCCAAGTTGACAACAATCTAAACATCAGCTTATCATGCAGTTCGACTTTGATCCAGCCATTGAACTGCCAAAGCAGATAGGATATCCCCTCATGGGAAACTCTTGAGCATTTCACTTTGTTTTGCGTGCCCACATTACCCAAACCTAACGTGAACGCTGAAAAGGAGACAAGGCTGATTTCAGTGTATGCAGGGCCAGCTCGCAGTGAGCGGCAGTTGCTGCACTGTATGGCCAAGTGTGCTCGCTCAGTTTGCGCTGCGCAAAGCCCGGCCACAACTGGCTCTACAGATCCACAGGTCAAATCAAGTCTACGATCCGTGCCAACAGAGCAAACATAACCAATTGTTGGCTCCAAGTCATGCATCCCGAGACCTCCACAAGAAGACACCTCGCTTTTGCCAGAAAAGAAGAAATCACGGCCGCTGGCTGCGTTTCCGAATCCTTGGCACAGGTGATCTCTACGCTACACAAAAATGGAAACATGCATCCAGCCCGGCCCAGTGCGCCTTGACCCATCTGTAAAGCAGCTTCACCACCTGCTTGCGACGATGACCCCCCCCCCCCCCCGCACCCCTTGACATCAGGCCCCCCGCCCTGCTCATGGAGCTTGCTCTGGGGACACGGCTTGCCCGCTTTCTTTTCGGGGCCATGTGAACGGGAAGTATTCGCTGGCGGTAACAAACTAATTTGCTGAAACACATTCCCTGGATTCCGTGGGCGAGCTGGACACTTTGCCACAAATGCAAGTACATCAAGCACGGATCCACTTTATGTTTGGCTGGATGAGCTTCCTCACCAAGGTTGGACAACTCATACCAAGCAACCAAGGACCAGGTCCATTGCCTGAAATGAACCAAGCACCAGCTGAGACCGCAGCCGATTGCCCAGGAACAAAACCAATCGAACTGCGCGGCGGCCATCGATCCAATTCGCCTTCGGGAACTTCGTCCTTTGTGGCAGCACGGCAGCCAAGCGCTGCAGGCCTCGATCGTGAGTTTTGTTTCTTCCCCGCCTCAAAGGATGGCGAGGAAGGGAGGGGGGGGTCAATGTCCTTTTTGGCCAAGCCATTTTCATCGGCTTGGCCAAAGCAGGGAGTGATGGCTTTTGCTGCCCGAGCCATGCGGTCACAGACTTGTGATGGAAATACTCGTTGCAGCGCACCTTCTCTCAGTTTCAGGTCCAACGCCTATCCCCTGTGACCAAAGGCATCTGGATTAAAC